CTATGTAGGCAAAAGAAAGGTTGTGTCCGAGTGGGGCACACCCTAGGGTTAGGGCAGTCCAAATGTGCGTGCCTTACTCGTGTACCTAGGCAGGTCAGGCATACCCTAGGGTTAGGGCCTTGTCTGACCGTATGCCATAGGAAAGGGGGATGTAAAAGGGAATAACGAGGTTTTTGAACGAACTATGAGGTTGAAAGAAACCTGAGGGTTGGTGAGAGATGTTCGTTGTGATTGTTTGTGTGTGTGTTTGCGGGGTCTCACTCTGGGGCATCTTTTGATAGGATTAGTTGCTTTAGATGCTCGCTGAGTGCTGGAGCCATAGGCAAATAAGATGGATGATGGGAGAAAAGCTTGGGATAAGATAGGACTTGACTCTGCTAGGAGTTAGGATCAGTGCTAGCCCACGCTCTCATCTAGAGGTCGTGCAGACTATCGCTGATTCTACCTTCCAAGTAAGCGTCATAAGTTAGTCCCAAGTATAGTTTTGCTTTGTCTTTCTATTTTCAGCTTTGTATAAATCTTGGCAGCCTCCTTTTCCTACGGGAAGCGCTGCCGAAATTATAGTTTTGCTTTGTCTTTCTATTTTCAGCTTTGTATAAATCTTCCAAAGTAAGCGTCAGAAGTTAGTCCCAAGTATAGTTTTGCTTTGTCTTTCTATTTTCAGCTTTGTATAAATCTTGGCAGCCTCCTTTTCCTACGGGAAGCGCTGCCGAAATTTCTACAAATCTGAAAGAGTTGGTCATTTTTGGGCTTTCAGAAATTATGAAAAGGCACTTTTCCTACAGGAAGCGCTGCCGAAATTTCGTAGAAATCGAGGAGTTAGAATAATTTATGCTAGGAGAAACTTGGCAAATCTACCCTGAATAGGGGAGATGCTGCCGAATTTCTCAGGACCTGGGATTAGAAAAAGGGAGCTGAGTTTGAGACTAGTAGAGGAGCTAGGATACGAGCTAGAAAGTATTCTCCATGTGAGGTAAACGTAGTAGTGGTTCTTTTTGGCCTGTACTGTGATGCAGGTCTTTGTGACTTGGTTGAAGGATTGATCTGGCCAGCATAATCCTGTTAAGGATTATTCTTCTGTTATCGTTGATAACTGGTCGGTTGCCGATTCGTCGGTTTACGACTCAACTTTCCTACTACTTCTGCTTCTTAACCTAAGGCCTTGGCCCTTGCCGGTTTATTGTTTTCTTGGGTTTTCACCCAGATTCTTTATAAATGGCCATTTCTTTAAAGACTGAGTATCTTTGTTGTGGAAAGGTGGGGAAAAGGTTGGGCTTGTGTGCGTAAGGCAGGGTGTGAGCTGCAGAAGGCTGAAAAGTTGACCCCTTTAGTGTGGGTGATGTCGTTTGAATTCTGTGTGTGATTGCAGGTATGTGTGGAGAAACCTCGATAAAGTTTGGTGATTGGTTGTGAATTGGATTGAGATGGGCAAATCACACAACTGTCGTGAGAGTGAACTACCACACAAACTCTTTGTTTGATTGCGATTGGTTTTTTCCTATCCTGATTTTTTTTTAATAGTCAAAGTAGGCGTACGCTCGGATAACCCTCACAAGGATATGCGACTGCACGCTTACGGCTCTCATTTACTCTTCGATTTTATATGGTCGAACGTTAGTCCCAGGTCCTAGGTTCGGGGCTGAAGGGATTACCCTTCGCACAATTTTGACCTACTTACATCCTTAGGGAAATAGAAGTGCCGCGAAAAGGAGGGACTGACCCCCAGCAACTCGGTCCGGCAGGGCATTCATGTCTTCTTCTGCTAGCGTTAAGCGCCCCTTTTCTCTTTCCTTGTTTAATTTGCTTTGGTGGAACGATAAAGTTCCGGGCGGAAGGATTAGCATGTCGCTGGTGATGCGCCAGGCAACTCACCACCGCTCCGAATCCCTTCCTGCCCTAGGGACCATCTTACCTCGCACCCTTTGGGACACCTCAGGGTGTTGAAGACGGTAAGGCCCCCAGGCCGGTTTTTGCGCTCGCTAAAGGTTTACCCCCTTTAGCGGGCGCTTCAGCCGACGCCTGAGCATCGAAAGCGACCCCATGGCTTAAACGGGGCCACTCGAGTATGGGCACTACATGGTGCGCCGACATCACGATTGCTTACGCAAATCCGCATTGTTGGCCGATATGCGTAAGTCCTGTGGTCGCGCGGCCTTATGTTAACCCGCGGGCGCGACACTTACCGATTTCCACACCTGAAAGTTATGGGTTAAGCGAAAAAGGGCAAAGGCGCGTTATGGCTAGTAGACCCGAGTTTCGATAGCACGAAACGGCGCGTGGGCGAGATATCAATCCCAGTAGACGTATGGGGGCTCGCGTACGAGCCTCCAACGCCTCGAATAACGGGTTGCCTATGGGTCCAGCTTCGGGCACCATCTGCACGCATCTCACGGGTTGGCCTACCCCTTCCAGTTGGGACGACTATCAGACTATCTGCAATTGTTTCCTCCTTAAAGTCTTCGTGGTTGGATGTTGTAGTCCGTGGTAGCCGTCAAAGTCAAACCCCTTGATTTTGGCTACCACGACAGCCCTAAAGCTGTCTACTCAACCCCTCTGCACAGGGTGCAGAAGAGGGTGTGGTCTTCAACTGCACATGGCGGTTGTCTGGCGTCGAAAGATTACCCCTCAAAGCGCCTGTCAGCCGACATTTGAGTGTCGAACGCGATCCTCGAAATTATCAAGGGCCGCGAGGCTACGAGTACCACATAGTACCCCATCAACGCAAATGCTTGCGAATGCCCGCATGGCAGGTCGATAAGGAGGCCATGCGCGCGCATGACTCTTATACAAAAGTTCAGCGCACGATGCCTACCTGATTCTCGCAGCATGAAGTTATGGGTCGGATATTGAAGAGACTAGGAGTGTTGTGATGTTGTGTTTGTTTTGTGTTTTTCCATGTGTTATGTGTGGGTAGATGTGAGTGTTGTGGTGTAACGCGTGGTGTGTGTGATGCGTCCTAGTCGACCGGCGCCGAGTCGCGTTTGGGACCTCAGCCCCCAGTACGTCGATTCGCGTGCGGGTTCGATTTTCGGGCGTTCAACCGCGCGTAACCCCCTATGCTACAGCGAACGAGAAACGCCCTCGGTTGGGCCACCTCTGCAATTCCTTACGAAAAGCTTTCGTATGTGGTTCAGTAGCTCGGCGGGGATACGCCCACCTAAGGGATGGTGACAGCTCCCGCAGGTGGAGGTAAAGCGGTGCCTCTCGTGGCTCTGTTCTGTCGCAGGGACTCGCGAGAGGTACGGCTGGCGCACTCGGCTGGAGCGGCACCTCACTCTCCGCGACGGAAGTCCTGCCAAATCTTGCGTGACACGGCCGGGAGGGTCCCCTTGCGGGACCGATGCGCTCGACAGGTGGCGTCAATGCCATGGTTTGCTCGTCAATCCGTACTCAAGGTTTTCCTCTCTCAAAAGCATAATCCTTGTTCCATCCAAAATTCACAATACGCCCTCTCCCAATTGGTCTCATCCCAAATCCCATGTCTTTGTCTTAGGTACCCGAGGTAGCTCATCCAAAAGTAGCCTCAACAACTATCTTCTACTTTAGCGTGACACAGCCTTAGCTGGCCCTCTTTTCACTTCCTCCTTAGCAAGCTTGCCCATATTATACACGTTCTCGTCATTCTCATATCTTTGCAGACAGAAAGCAACGATCCTTTTCAATGCTAAGCCAACACCTAGTTCCTATTACTGCCTTGCGCCTCGTCTCGCCTAGTTTCCTTGTCCACTCCGTTCCTCGGCAGGCTTCCTAACCCGCAGGTCGTAGGTCTCGATCTCTCTTTTCATCCTTACAATTTTATGCAACTCAGCCTCGTTGAAAAAATCCAGTGGTGTGGCTTCCACCCCTGCCCTTGCGAGTGCCCGAGTCTTGATAATCCATTCGTGCCTGATTACATTGGTCCATTGCTGAAACCA